TCCCAAAACTTTCAATGCTTCAAAAACGAAGAATGTATTTCGTCAGTTTAAGCTTGAATGTATGTGTTATGCCCACGTTGTTGGTTTTTCTGTTACGTTCTTCCTTTCTTTCTTTCTGGCCTATATACACACAAGCATATACTGCACCAGAGGAGTGCCTTCGTTTTCTGAATAAAACATCTGTACATGCAAGTGAAGATTCGAATAAGTTAGGTAAAACCTAACAATTGGTGCACTAGCCGGCTTACTGTCAGTCAGACATCACAGTAGGTATAACTCGTGGTGTTTTCTTTTCTTGTCATCACAGCCCGATGGACTAGATTGCGATACAGATGCCCGAACATCAACATAACCACTTCTCAATACCAATGATGATATCTGTATTAGCCAAGGCGATGAAACAAGCCCTGAAATTTTCTGGTACAAGCCATGACGATGTTCAACACTAACCGTTAGAAATAGCGAAAACATTTGACATCCTTAATCTGAATTCATCACATAGAGAGACTTAAAGACTTAGACCTTTATTTGACAACAAAAAAGTAAAAAGAACCAATACAATAAACTAAAATCAAAAGAGGTTGTTGCAGGGGAAAAAACAGAAAAAGCGCATACTGCCCTTATTAGACGGTGACCCTTCTAATTTCGACAAAGAAAATAAACAAAAGAACGAGAGAAAGATAAAGGATTAAAGCTCTAAGAAGTTCTTTAGTCTGTGCTTGAACAAACTTATGCTGTTAGCTGTAACAACGTGCTCTGGTAAGCCATTCCACTCAATTGCCGTTCTGTGAAAGAAGATATACAGGGTGGCATAGACCTTGAAAATATCAGCCACCCTAACTGCTCTAGAATGGTTTAGCCTGCCAGAATGCCTATTGGTATTATACTGAATAAGATTGAGATTCGAAAGAATGGAATGATTGTGGAGAATCTTATAAAAATGAAGCAATCTGAAGTAATTACGTATTTTATATAAATCTGGTAAATTTATTTTCTCTATTAATTTAGAAACAGAGCCATCAAACTATTTAAATACAATTCGCGCAGCCAATTTAACAATAGAGTCAATACGAGAATTATAATAAGGACATTTAGTGTCGTAAACAACCGAACAATAGTCTAATTTACTTAGAATGCGTGCCTTGAAAACAGTTAACCTCACCAGGATCGGTGCATCCTTAAAACTACGGTACATGGCATCTAATCTTCTACGGCAAGCCAGAATACGATCCTCAATATGATCTCCCCAACGCAAATCAGAAGATAAACGGAGACCCAGTAGCACAGTAGAGTACTCTCGGTTAATAAACGAACCGTTCACTAATAGTGTAAAATTTGTGTGTTTGAGGCTTATGAGTAAAGAGTAACCAAGAACACTTATTATAATTTAATTGCATTAAATGAGAATCCCACCACGCACTTATACGATCCACATTTCCTTGACATACAGAAGACGGGAAAATAGCTGAAAGAGGACATAAAAGTCAACAATCATCAGCAAATAGAGCCGCTGTTCCAAGTAGTAAACTTGTAGACAGACGGTCATTAATAAGGATAAGAAAAAGTAGTGATCCTAAGACCCTTGCGGCACACCGAATGGAACGAGGACCTTTTCTGAAAAAGAGTTTCCAATACGCACCCTCTAGGAACGCTTGGATAGATAACTGTAAAACCACTGAAATGCTGAGCCTGTTACCTCTAACGAAGAAAGTTTTGTCAAGAGAATCTGATGGGAAACGCGATCGAAAGCTTTCTCGAAGTCAAATTGTACAAGAATAGTATCAATTCCCTCATCTAAATTTGTGTAAATTGAGTGTGTGATGTATAGAAGCGCGTCAACGGTTGATGATCGAGAACGAAAACCAAATTATGGCTTAGGAAAAAAGTTATGTTTAGATAAATAAGCGAGCAGTTGTTCATGTATAAAACGTTCAAGCACCTTACTGAGTATACTTAACAAGATACTGGCCTATAATTATCTACAGTAGCTCCGGGACACGTCTTATGTACGGAAATAATATCAGCAAGTTTCCACATAGATGGATAAACGCCGTTTTTGATAGAAAGCGAAAATAAATGATCGATTTGATCAATTAGAAATGGAGCACATTTTTGTAAGAAAGAAACCGGTATATTATCCGATCCCGGTGCTATGTCTTCCCTTAAATTTCTTATAGCATCTAAAATAACTTGTTTTCTTGGTGGATTAATAACAAACAAAGTTCATGACTGATGATGGACGCGGCCCTTGCTTAGGGGGCCGCCCTTGCTTAGGAATGAAACATTCAGAAAAATACATATTAAACATTTGAGCTTTAGATGAGTCAGTTGAACAACACTCACTTTCATTTCACAAACTGAATAATCATTAACAACGATCCGACAAATCTGTGATTGAATATTATAACACGATGATCAAATTATGTAATCAAACTGATCCGAATATGACTGATACTTCCAAATAAAATTTTTTACAGATGGTTTAAAGCAGTCATTGCAAAAAGACGGACATGTTTAAAAATGTCGCCATTCGGTGTAGAAATGACGTCTGTGGTTAGAATTCCCGATCGAGTTAATTTCATACGGAATCTGAAATCACAAGGATTGTTTTTCTCAAACAACACAATTTCTTTTTGTCTTTCAACAAGAATACGCGTTAAATTAAGTTTTCAAGGAATGGGTATTCTCAGAGATCCAGTAACATTTGATTCTCTTAAACAAATAAATCGCCGTTTGACTGGTAACAATTTCGAATATGTTAGCAGACAGCTGAATGGATAACGAATATTGAGACAATGTGCAAGTCGTATAGATGTTGCAATTTAAAACTTACACTACATGTTGGTAACCAATTTATATTGATGTGTGACAAACTATCAACATATGTCCACAAAATAGCATATAAAGAAACCTATGAGTAATAATTGCAATAACATTTTGTGATCACGTTTCCATATAAATAATTTGTAAGATCCCGGTAATTTAAAATTTCAGCAGGATTTTATCTTTCGTTCACTTATACAAGGTTCGATAGAGCACGCTGAGGTACCTAGGAAATTGGGATTTTCATTCTTCAGGACAAGTTTTAAGGGAGAAACAACAAAAATCTTTGAAAATTCTTCAAAATTAGCTAAATTTTCAAAAAATTCAAATTGGCGACTCCACACTTGTTTTGAACCTCCGAAACAGTGTTGTCCTGCTTCAGCATCAAAAACTGAATATGAATAACCAAGTTTTACTTTCTCCGAACTTAAAATGTGTTGATGAATGATGAAATGCGAGCAATACTTTTTGCCGAACAAGGATATTCCACAAACGCTTTTGAACAATTTAACATTTGAATTGTCAAAATCTAAAAATTGTAATATTGCTATAAATAGCGTAATAAAAAGTCAGGCAGAACACCAAATAATTTTCATACCAACAAACAACTCAGAGATAGGGTACACCTTGATACAATTAAAAGCTAGATAGAAAAATCAGTAGCTTATATGACAAAAGCAGATACATACACATAATTTAAAAGTGAAAGGTAACTAGATCCAACAAATGATAATCAAGACAAATACACTATTGAGACAACTTTTAGCAGAAAAACGAATATAACAATTCTTATACAAAAAGTTAAGACCAAAAGACAGTGAATTACTGCATTAATACTATAATCCTAAAGATTACAAACCAGATGCTTCACATAGACCTGCTGTAGCGGGGATAAAATCACCAACATTGTGAGAAATAATGGGTAAAGTTTCGAGTATAAAAGATAAGATAATTGCAGTTTTAATACCCCATTATTCATAAACAATTCATAAACAAATCTTTCTGACCTTGTTGTTGATAGGTCGAAAAGATGATGTTGCTTGCATGTTGAACTCTGCGGTAGAGACCTGCAACCCGACCCGACCCTAGGGTCGCGTCGGGCCGGGTTCCGGTGGAATATTTGGCGACGCAATTTAAAATATAAATAATATTTTTAGCTTTGTATTACTGGTTGAAAGTTATCTCTACTGAAATTTCCAATTGAAAGACTTGTTTCAGAACAACTGCATTCACTAAGTCGATTAATGATTGCTTTCTTTGCACATAAGAGAGTGTTTCCTCACTGAAATCAATGGCAATACATCCCTTACTGCTTTTTTTCAATGTACTGTTTTAAACACCCATACATAGAAGACTTTACTATAATGCTCTCTACTTGCTATCTTAGTATTAGGTGATACTGACTGACCAATGAGAAAAAGGATGTGATCATCATCTCGGTTAAGATAATCTATTGACAAAGTGTACTGATCATGAGGAATTTTCAATAGATTAACCTTTTAGACAAAATGACCAATCAGACGTCGTTCAAAAATTTTTTTGAACTACGAGGTTCTACAATATGCACCGAAAAACTTTTGTCTAACAAGGCAAGTCTATATTCTTTCTCAAACACAGTTTTTTGGTGAGATTGTTTTCATCGGGTCGGGTTAGGTTCCGGTTTAAGTTGTTGTCGGGTCGGGTCTGGTGCGGGTCGGCATTTTGGCAGTCGGTTCGGGTTAGGTGTTCTTAACCCGTGCAGGTCTCTACATCGAGCCATTCTAGATTTTTGTGCTATACTATACTAATATAAGTGAAAAGCCTGTTTTGACAAAAGCGTGAAAGAAATAAGATTTTTGCCTTTCGAAATACCAAGAGATTGCTAGAAAATCGTTAAAAGTCCATTAACACCTAATATTTTTAGCAAAAATAGTACATATTCTGAAAGACGACACTTTATGCTGTGTAACCATATGTAGAAAACTCAATTTTTATTCTCAGTCAAAAAATGACCTTTATGTAGAGAAGACTTCCAGCTATAGAACGATAATAATTAGTCTAGGACCTTTCTTCACTGGATTTCTGTGCGCCTCACTGTAGGTGATTTTCATCTTTGTCTGTACACGACTGAATATAACTAACGTTTATTTATTACAAAGAAAAGCAAAAATCCTAGTTTTCGACCAGACTTGCTAATATTATGCAAAATCAAAATAGGGAGGATAATTTTCCATTTGTGGATGAAAATGATAATTTAGAGGTGTTGGTTGATAGAACGATGGTGGTTGTTTTGGCGTATACGTCGCATAGGTTTGCGGTTGTTGTACCATTGATGTATATTGCTGTTGTTGTGGTGGTGGTGAGGGAGCTAATTGAGATGAAGAGTTTGATCGAGCAAGTGTACTGGCTGATCGTGATTGTTCCAATTTTTGTTGATCCTCCGATAATTTTTCATCGAGACTATAACGAAAATGCCATGGTTTTGCTGATGATTCACGTTCAACAATGGTCATACTACAAAAATCAACTTTACTAGCTAATTCGGCAAGACGTTCTGGTCGTGGTTGACCATTCATTAGATGTCGAGTAAGTACTTCGAGTGATGGTGCATGTGCTACTAATAAAATGTTACCACCCGTTTTCTTATGTAATTTGATGATTTTTTTTATTGTATCTCTCGAACGATCGTAATATTGATATTCATTTTCGACTAATTTCAAATCGGATATCTGTGAGTGATATGATTGATCAATATTGATACCGCCTTGAAGTAATTCTTGATCAGACATGAAAGTAATAGGTGATTGAGTATACCAGCTTGTACATTCGAATAAACCTACTTCTATACGTATTGGTACAAGAGCTTTTCTACCCATACCTTCAAGAATTTTATCAGCCGTTTGAATTGAACGAAATGCAGGTGAAGAATAACAACTGGTAATAGGCAAATTATAACGCGTGAGAACATTGCCAACATTCCAAGATTGTGAGAGTCCTTTTGATGTTAAGGGAGTATCGACGTCATAGTCTTGCCAGTTGGCCCGATAGGGAAGACCGGGTGGCATATTGGCATCGAATGGATGATACTGACCGTATGGAAATGCTCTCTGAGTCCACCCAGCGCCATAGATGACATCAACACGTTCTCCATGACGAATAACGATAAAACGAAGTGGTTGATCAGCGTGTGAAGGATTGTTATTTGACCATGTCGAACTGTGAGCATAACCGTAATACGGATCATGATCAATAGCCACAGAANAGTTGGCCCGATAGGGAAGACCGGGTGGCATATTGGCATCGAATGGATGATACTGACCGTATGGAAATGCTCTCTGAGTCCACCCAGCGCCATAGATGACATCAACACGTTCTCCATGACGAATAACGATAAAACGAAGTGGTTGATCAGCGTGTGAAGGATTGTTATTTGACCATGTCGAACTGTGAGCATAACCGTAATACGGATCATGATCAATAGCCACAGAACTTTCGCGTTTACGTGATGGTGTACCGAAGAAAAGATACGATGGATCTATATACTGATTGATTTTGGAATACATGGAATTCATTTTCACGCGAAGAGTTTATCTACAGTGAAAAAAAAATTACATCTGGATGGGAATCTGCACTAAACTTCTGTTACATACAAGTGCTAGAACTTTTGAATCTGAAAACAACTTTTTAACTGAATAAGTAATTAATGTAAGACAATTAGTGTATACCTGAAAAAATCTTTTTCGATCAACCACTTTCCACACTGAAAAATTATTTCTCTTGCAATGTCTTCATACTTGTTGATAATTTAACTGGATTAAGGCTTTAAAATATTTTGTTTTTCTGATGATTGATCTAAAAGTTACACGTACTATTATCTGCAAGATAAACTGATGACCACGATTGTTTTTCTAATAAGTTGTGACATAATAAATTTAAAAATCTTTCTAACAAGTGAGATTTCTAGAGGATCTCCGAATACTATGATGTTAGACAAAATTTTTTTTTTCAAATCTTCATATGGAGTCAATACAAAAAAGATAACATGGAGTGTGCATAATCATACCAATGGAACCTCGCCATCTTCGATTTTCACATGACGTCAGTTTTAATGGAAATCTCAAAATCGGCTGTGTAAGAAGAATCCTGAATGACAATTGTCGTCGCAATGTTTGTTTTCAGAAAAAAGTGAGAAAACTTAGTGAATATACGAGTTTTTAGAAAAATACTCTATGACTTAGTTATTAAAGTTATGAAAGTATAAAAAAAAAGTACAAAGCGCAAACATTGCCTGAATGTAAATCAACCACTTTAAAAAACTATTCACAAATTACTCAGCCATGTTGTTACCGAGGATTTGGCTAAAACAAGCACAGACAGTAGTAACTCATCAACAAATTTTGTATAGGGAATAATCGTTATAGTCTATGTACTTTTCATCAGATTCGTAGATTAAATACCCGCAAGATCAAAGAACTATAAATTTATCGTTTTTTAGAAGACTCCCGATGGAAAATCGTCACGGATTTTTTACTTTTATAGTTCTGTCAGCAGGCAAATTAAGTATTTCACACGGTTATCTGATTTTTTTCTGAAAAAACATTGGAAGGAGAGTCTGAATGACCAGTAATTTATATTTTCAATTATTTTTGAGTTTTCCTTCACGCGTTCAAAATCACTTTTTGGGACTCACCAAAATCCTTCGCAAATTCCACTTGCAGGAAAGATTTTTAAATTTAATATGTTATGGGAAGATGCGCCAAGCTCTTGGCTACAAAATCGTGAAAAACACAATTTTTGCAGCTGTCCTTTATCACAGCTTATTAGAAAAACAATCGTGGTGATCAGTTTGTTTTATAGATAATAATCTAATGATAATGACAACAACATTTACTCATAGTAAAGGCAGAAGAAAAAAAAATGCACACTTAGTGTCTTTGGTACAGTTAGAAAAAAAAGAGCAAGAAAAGTGAATACAGGTATCTTTTTTCATGTATTGTTATAAAAGAAAAATCGATATCAACAATACACGAGCGTGTCCTACACTCAATACAAAAAAAAGCAGTCAAATATAAATGCACGAAAAAAAGAGTGAACGAACCCAGCGAAAGAAGGAACGAAAAGCAGGTATAGACGACCCTCAACCGCTTACACTAATACATATTTCCAAAAATCTCAAAGAAAACCAGCTTTATTCATTATTTGATTCAACCATCGTAGTAGCCTGTCAACAGAGAAAAATGTATTTGATTATGAAAGTTGTTTTAAAAATAGACATATCTTATTGCAGCACTACTTCATTCTGATAGTACAGGCATCGAAAATAGAAGAGATTATTACGAGTTTTGAATCTGGAAATAAAACAGCATAAGTTGGTGTTTACGTTGTACTTCGGAGATATGATGTTCGTACCATGTAATATTTTTTGAAAAGGCGATATGAATACGAAGTTAGATCAGATTTTTTATATTTTAAATAAGTATTTTTTCTTCGTACTAACTTTATCTATTACAAACGTTTCGATTGATAGTTCAATCTTCCTCAGTGGATACATTCGAAATAAGGTATATTTCTCAGTCGTGTCAGAAATTATGTTGGTCAATACTTAGTCTCATGGATGCAGGGTGCGAGATGACATCTTCTAAGTAGAGACTGTCTGAAAGTCTCAATCTTCTGGGACTTTTCAGAATGCCACAGAAATCTTCGAAAGTTTATGAGATTATGATCAGGATTGTATCCACAGAGGAAGATTGAACTATCAGTCGAAAATATAAAATATACTAAGTAATAACTTTGAGGAAGGTCTTAATGGGTTGGAACACCTGTCAGGCAGCATACTCATTGCGTTGTGATAATCAATAAAGTTTCTCCAATTAGTCTTTGTGGTGAAAAACCGGTACGTGATTAGTGTGTATGTAGAGGGATGGGACGCTCAAACAATTGAACGGAAAGAATTTTGCGTCAGACTAGTCTTTCAGCTAGAGTTACAATTGGTGACTAGTGAAGATATGAGTAAGTATATCAGAAGCCTGTCATCTATAAGGAAGACTTCGGGCTATGGAAACTGGCATCAGTTAGCATTCTAAAGCGATAACGATCGACGCATGGCGAGATATTCTTTTTTTCTGAAAAGAATTTAATGAACAGAATAATCATTGCATCACCAAACTCATGTTCAATACCATTTTGATTTCTTGTATTATCTGTCCTATTTATACTACTTCTACTGTTGATGAAGACGATGGCTTGTTCACAATGTGGTCCTATTTTAACGCCAGAAAAAAGGCAAAAGCAAAACCATGTCTAAACAAGCAAACATACATATGGTTCATGTANCGAGATATTCTTTTTTTCTGAAAAGAATTTAATGAACAGAATAATCATTGCATCACCAAACTCATGTTCAATACCATTTTGATTTCTTGTATTATCTGTCCTATTTATACTACTTCTACTGTTGATGAAGACGATGGCTTGTTCACAATGTGGTCCTATTTTAACGCCAGAAAAAAGGCAAAAGCAAAACCATGTCTAAACAAGCAAACATACATATGGTTCATGTACGCAACTATCCACATATTCTGTGATTCTCAGCGAAGTCAGTTTTCGCCAAAATTTGAGCGATCAGCAGTATATTAGAGACAGATTGTAACTGCAGAACCCCATCAGATATAATCATGCAATAAATTAACAGGTCAATCGAATCCCACATGCTCGGAGTTTTATAGGAATACACATACAAATTATTTTCAGGTCAAAACTCTTAACAAATATAGCTTTTTCGGAAAAAAAGCATTTTCCACATTTTTCTCCGAATCGTTCTCTCATATGCAGCATTTTCGCAAATCTCTAAAAATATGTGTCAAGATAAATATTGAATAACTTAGGCTAGCTTTAAATCGTATCTAGAGTAAGACAAAGCTCGGTTTTTGAACTCTGATCTATTTCTGTAGGTAAAGGAAGATTTCTAAATAGGTTTATAGTTGAGTTTTCAGTTATATTGTCGCAGAACAAATAACGAAAATCTGACTCTGTCAATATACAGTCTTGAAAATTCATCAAAACTAGACTTCGACCGGAGTTACATTCTCTGAAAATTTCGTCCTGATTGGCCCTTCCATGTACTGGAATTAGTGGCAGTGGCAAGAAATGTTTCTAGAGTTTTATTCAGCATGAATCAGATGTGAAAATCTGATTATCATGAGGCTTGATCAAGTAGTTAGACTCATTTAGAGAACTAGCCGTCGTTCAGCGAGTATTTTTATTAATAATTTTCATGATTCATGATCACTATCTGAAGCTGAAGATTATGATATGATGACGATCATGAGTCCGTGATGATATTTTTTGTTTACATAGAACATTACTTAAACAAAAACAATACTTTAAGTAAAAATGAGACACACAATAATATTCAACAATCTCTCTTAGATATGCAAATAATTCAAGAACAAAAGTAAGCAATATCTAATCGAAATATTCTCTTTGCATTCATAACACCTTCGTATATTAATAGCAAAATGATTGGATATAAACAACAAAAACAAAAATTTGTAACAAAATAATGGTACACACATCTTTCTTAGAAAACAATACCAAAAACAAAAAGTATTAATAAAGTTGATCTGACATGATAGCAACTAAAGTAGATATAAAAAGATACAAAATAAACTTATAATGCACGACGTCTTACGTGACAATTATAACATAACAATGTCGAATTTAGCGGATAACAACGTTTATCATATTCATCATTTAACAATTGACCGCAATCCTAAAAAATCGGTTGTTAAATTAGATAAATAATCGATTAGATTGGCATACATACTTCACAACGATAACATTCAATATGAAAGTTTTGATCCATTGACACAATTCGAACTGTTTCATTTGAACCCTATTAGAAATGGAAAAAACATTAAAAAATCATTGACAAAGAAGCAAATAACTAAAAAGTGATTTATATCTTACTTCCTCTGGACAAATGGGACATTTGCATTTTGCACACCTTGGAGCATAAGTACTAAAAAAGAGGAGATAGTTGCTAAGAATTATTATTTTAACCGATTAAACTTACTTATGATAATCATGCAGACAAAATATTTTATTTTTTGTGTCAACAATAAATGGTACATCATCTAAACATGTCAAACACACACAACATCGAAAACATCCGGGATGATAAGATTTTCCCATTGCTTGTAATATCTAGAAATAAGGTCAAAATATATTAATACATAACTGAAGTTAAGTATGAATTACAGCTTACAGTATCAGTGATCATATGTTGACAAACAACACAGTGTTCAAGGGTTTGATGGTAGCCAGTGTACTAAAAATGAAGATAGAAATAACGGATACCTCGAATTACTAAAGCAATATAATTACTAGTAATTTACCAAAAAGTCTTCTTCGCAATACAACTGATCTTTGACACACAAAAACTTTTTATTTCTCAGCGTTCTTCCACAAAGAACACACACACAACATCCACTATGATAAACATTTCCCATTATTTCACATGCATCATCGACAATCGTAATAGATTGACCACATTTTCGACATTCTCCTAAATAGAGCACGATTTATTGTTTTTATTTTTTCATTGACCCAATATATTCTAATTATTGAATGAGTTTTTCAAATCAGAAATCCATACCGTAGTATTCTCCGATAGTCGTTCCATTTTCATTTTCTTTATCATTGACCAAAGATAATGTAGCTAATTTTTGTTCAATTGTTGTTGGACCATGTTTTTGTTTTGACATTAAACCGTATGATGTTGGACGTGCTTGAGCAATAATTGGTGAACGATAAACAGTTTGATGTTGAACAGGTTTTGATGAACAGTTAAAGTTTGGAATGGTAACTGTTGAACAATTGTTTGTTGTTCGTGGAGGAATAACTGGTGGATCAAACGGATTTGTGCTTGGTTTTGTTGTTGGATAACGTGGAGGTGGTGGTGGTGGAGCAGGAGCTTGTGTTTGAGGTTGAGAAATGTAGAGAGTACTCGTATTCAGATAGGTAGTCGTCGTTTCTGGTTGATGTTGCTGAGCGTAATACGATTGAATAGGACGTGTTTGAATACGAGCATAATTATTTGAGCGTGGCATGCGAACAGGTGGTGGAGGTTTTGTATCTGAGCTACGATGATGATTATTATTTATCACGGACGCCGTTAAATAATCTCTTGATTCTTGATTTGGTGTCGTTGGTAAACTATGGGATATATGAGCCAATGGGCTATGAGGACTGAAATAGTTTCCTAAAAATAGAACACTATCATACAGACTTGTAAACAAACAGATAGACAGAGTTGCTAAGTACCGGTATCTCGCTTTTTATGAGTAATATGAAATTTTTGATATAGCATTATACTTACCACGTAATGATGATGCTGATGGGGAATGGATGGACGATTTTGAGTTGTGGTGATTAAGAGGCTTATTTGTAATTGATTCTTCATAAGTTGGCGGTGGATGAGACGGACGTGGTGAGAGATTTGTAGGCGGAGAGGGTTGTGCAAATGAACGACATCGATTAATTGAACTTGTTTCCCATAAGGCACTAGTTGAATCAGGTTTTACATTGCCATTAGGTATCGGTGACGAAGACAAGGGAACTGGAGAATAATAGGTATGTTGTTTCGCTGGTATTGTTTGGTTTGAATAAAGGGTTTGTTCATGAGACGAGCTATTTGGGATTCCAAATGCTGATATTCGTGAATGATCAGCCATAATTATCTGAGAAGAAAAACAATAAATGTGTTAGTTATTGTTAAAGCAGTTAATATGTTATTCCTGGATAAAGATGACTGGAAATAATCTGATTGTTCACAAATAAATTCATTTTGAAAAGCTGACTGATATTTTGTTATTGTGAGTAACAATTTCATTCTCTCTATAGAACGAAGGCTTCTGACCTACAAAAAAAGAACAGTCAGATTCGTTTGACCTTTTTTCCTTCACTGATTTACATAACTACTTAGCTAGAATAATTAGATAAACACAACACATAGTTCTTTCTTGATGAGTCAAAGAGTTCATGATATTCTCTGTTTTACCTGTTAAAAAACGTCTATTGACTAATCGCTCTCTTTTCTCTCGGTGGGCGCTCGTACAGAGATATTTAATAAAAAGAAAAATATGATTCAGTTGTAAAAAAAAGAAATAAAATTTTTTTCTTTTTTTCTGCGATATGTTTGATTGATCTGCAACACGGACATACCATACCTATGCTGTATTTTTTGTCTTTGCTCCACTCTAACCGCAACTGATAAGAGAGAACAAGCAAGAAAAAAATACGTTATTCACAAAGATCGTTTGTTTATTTTCAAAATTTGATTGTGCAATTATCTTAACGATTAAAATTTTAATAGTTTTATAAACTATATGTGCGTAGACACGAAGAAGGAATGGAATGTGTGGAATGCGTTGTTATATTGTCGGATTAAAATCTCTCTCTTTCTCGCTTACTTTTGATCACTTGAACTTAGAATGATTTAAACACAGTTGGATATATATTTTAGAGAGAGTTGTGTGTATTGTATGTAAATTCCACATATAGGCATGAAAAAAAGATTTTTTTCACACATTCATACAGTGGAATGGAACGAAAAGAGAAAAAGAATGTACATGCAAGCTGTTCAGTTTCATTCTCCCTTTAGAATTCCACTGTAGGGCGAAAAAAGAACAAGCCGCGAATACGAGGCAATAAGATACATTTATTTATTAGTCTCAGATGGATCAAAGATGATGAATGTTAGTACTGAAAGATCTTGAGCGTGAATAGATACGGTGTGCTGCTTGCATAGTATGCGTAACTTATGTAAAAGTCAAAGTTTAATAGAATATTACTCTTTCGTCTGATACAATTTATAATAGTGCTTTTCCAATAACTTCATGATATATGCTGTTCAAGTGTTCCGCCTTTTTGTGTAAATGATATTTTGAAATGAATATGAAATGATATTTTTACTGTTGGATTATTCGAACGTTGCTGACTAACCCTAAGTTCGCGATGGTCGTTTAGATCAAAGTAAACGTCATAAAAACCTTGTTTAGGTTATAGAGCCATGGAAAAATTCATAGTGTACATAAGCAACGTAATGGAACTTCCCAGGTGATTCAACACGACCGTAAAATTGATTTACGACTCCAAAATCCTATGCTCCGTAATACTGACGCCGTAAACTAGCATATTATGGCCATAAACGGTCTTGTAAAAGATTGTTTACGGCTGTGTTACGGAGCATAGGATTACGGTCAAGTTACGGCATGTTATGTTACAGCACACGGTCGTAATTCGCTGTATAAGACCATCATAATCAATGACCTGGCTCCTGTTCTTTAACGTATATCATTTTTGAGTAAGAAGTTCCTGTACAGGTGAGCATTTTTGGAGCCGAGACACGTTTCAAATATGCGGATGAGAGACAAATTACTGGACTGAGTTTCAACCAGCACTGTTCGAACATTCCACGCTAACTGCTGTTATTTGTACTGTAGCTCACTATAGAGCTATTTTATTATGGGTATTTGGCCTGCTGGATAGTTATTTTGGAAGTGTACAAGATTTTACATCGACTTTCAAGACTTGATGCTTTATCTCTGAGAAAATTGATCTTAAAGTTGAGAAAAACTAGAATAATTGTTTAACTAGTCTTGGAAGTACCATACGATCAACAGAAATTCGATGTAAAGTCTGATACATTCTCCAAAGAATAACCCTCTTTTATTACACATAACTGACTCTTTGTTTATATATCAAAAATTCTTTTTTCTTTTATTCACTCTGTTTACCCCCTGTACTTTTACACTGTAGTATAAATGTTTATTATAGATTGACCATTTTCTGGCTTTCTGTTTTTGTATCTAAGTTTCATTCTGAACAAAAATACATATGTACAGTAGATCCTAAATGAATCATTAAACAACGAGTACAATTTTCGTGGATTGGAAATATGGAAGACGTTACCGATTAACTCCAATATGTACGAGACACGTTTAAAAACATGCTTGTTGTGATCAGTGACCTTGAATTTGAATCTTCGAAGGACCTTGAATTTGCATACAAAAGTAGCTTTTTAGTAAAAAAATAAAGTTATCAAAAAAATGTGATAAAATCGTTCTTATGGAGACGCTATTTGTCATCGATTTATGACCATGTTCCGCATGTTCTAGAAAAAAGTGTTTATAGCTCATTTTGTAGAAAAATGTTTGCTCTATAAGATGCCATAAAGAGATACTTGACTTTATGAAATCTGACTGAGAAAATTAATCTTTACTTGAAAAATTTCTTTTTTGAAATTTTAAAAATATGGTTTTAAGTTTGAAAAGCCAAAAACTACCTCATTTGTGCTCTTTCGAATAAGATATAGCTCGAAAAGAACAGACAAAATTTGACATCGAAATATCTAAAATACTAAGATATGTCATTTTTACGAAAACTCGCTTACATCTTTCACTTACCGTCGACCGGATTAGAAACCTATCTCAGACCAGATATTTGAACCAAATTTTCAGAGAATGTTGACCAAAATTGTTGATGTCAAAATGTGTTAACGAAATTTTTTTTCTGGAGCCACTTGCAACCGTTCGTGAGAGGGCGCCACAACAGATGCCAAAAATAGGCGTCTCCCAAGTGCAAGAATTCTCATTCTAGGTAACTGATAGAGAGCTCGGGCTTTTCTGATTTGTACTAAACACCTATGGTTGGTTACGAATTGACAGAGTTCGCTTTTTGAATTTCTCATTTAGTGATTTCTGATGCTTAATAGAACTTCAAAATCCGAAAAATCCTTGGAAGGTTTGTGAGAAATCCTCATTTCTATAAAAAATGAAAGCATAATTTAAAAGTTAAAAAATTCATATCTCCGAAAGTAAAAAGTTCTAAAGGCTAAAATTTTGGATTTATAGATTTCTGATAATGGAGAATACGATGAGCATGTTTATAGAAGAAAAAAACAAATCTTTTTAATGTGAAGGCCTTCTGACGCCTTCTAAGATTCGTCTATGAATCCCCTCTTAAGTAACAGCAGAAAAAAAGTGTACAGCATTTTATGACTAACATGTGACAAACACACTCTCATGTTTTCTTCATATATCAGCTTCTTGTGGATATTTGTTTACTTTTTCTTCTGAGTGGCACTCAACAAAAATGATAACCGTTACAAAGTCAAAAATGATAACCGTTACAGAGAGTCTTTCTGTTTTCTGTTCGTATACTATAGTTACGTTCTTCACTGGAATTAATACGACAGAATGTATATGACCTTTTTTGCTAAACACAATTGAAAATTATCCTATCCTTTAACTACGGCGCCTGTGACATGCCCTATGAAATTTTTGAATTATCTGTGACTCTCACTAAGAAATGTCATTTATTCATTTCTAACACAAACACATGTATAAAAATTTTATCTCGTATCTGAAATACAATCGGTCTAAAAAGTATCCCTATGATACCACGAGAACCGATTGATTTTTAGACGAAATAACTACCCGTACGATCGTCTTATCTCTGTTTCCTTTACGTCATGGCACAACTCAGCGAGCTTTCAAGTAGTCTATTTGAAAGAGCAGAATCTCGGCTTTCTGATGAAGAAAACACTTTCCAAAAATGGTCACATTTTCTTTGAGAAAAATTAAATTTGAAAAACGTAGTATAACATTTTGAATTTGTTTTTAGAAAACTCAAAATTTTTTATTTAAAAAAAAAATTACAAACTATAACTGCGAATAGACCGAAAGAATGAGAATAAAACACGCTACAAGGTGTTTTTACTCAAACCTAAAAGTGCTAACTTTTATGAAACTTTTTAGTTGATTTTCTCAAATATGATCGGAAGGCATTTTTTTACAGCTTTTTACAAGCGACTACTTTTCATCTACTTTGAGAAATTCTAAATTTCTAATCTACTTAAAGGAACTTGGATTTTTTTTGATAATTATGACTTAAAGAGCACGGAATTCTCTTCAAGATGAGATGTCGAACTACTTTCAACGCTGTCTTTGTGGAGTGACTCATCATTCTTTTCTTGATTAATAACCAACTGTCGTATTTGAAGACTCCATTCGTGAGTTGTTGGTGCCTACCATTTTATTAGAATTATTCATCTGATATACAATGGAAGATTTGCTTACTATAAAAAGACAAGCTAAATCTATAACATTATCATGAAAAACTATTTATACACGTGTAGAAGAATTCCAAATAAAATCTGATAGAAACGAAAAAATGTTTTCTTCTGACAAAGAAAAAAATGATGTATCACTCCATTAAACTCGCTGAGTTGTGCCATGACATAAAGGAAACAGAGAAAAGACGGTCGTACGAGTAGCTATTTTGTCTAAAAATCAATCAGTTTTGAAAATCTTGATAGGAAACCGTGAGGCCAGTAGATTAAATGTGATATATTAATATCAGACAGTCGACACATAGACCTGTCTAATGGTAAAAATCCGATCTCGCTACGACCTTCCATCGCAGAGATATTTGATACAGAGAAATTCTTTTTCCATCGTAGGGATACTTTTTAGACCGATTGTAGAATATCGTCGACAGTTTCACTACTTAAAGATTCTCGTTGATGTTTTAATAACCTTTCAAGTTACCTTGAAAGAAGTCCTATGTCTCCATCTTGTCCTGCTCCACGCATTTTGTTACCTAAATCTGTCCTGACCCAAGATCGATCTTTAAATCTCTAAACGTGTACAGTGCCTCAATACTAGTCCAAGAGAGAGAATGTAGAATAAGACATGTTTCATGTACGCATATATTCTATCTTTGACAAATTAACACTAGTTTTTCACTAGCTTTATCCCCATTATCTCGACAGACCATCACTGTGTGGATTTTTGATAGTCTACGTGACTGAGAATCTTTTTTACTACCAAATAGCTATCACGTAGTCGCTTTAGTGAAACGTGATTTCTTGCAGAGTGATATAAACGCCTCTTTTCTGCTGGAAAGGCAACATCTAATGGTCATGTGGATTCTCATTGATTATTACAAATAACATTGTTTACAGTGAAACGTTTAAATTAAGATGTTGACAAGTGTGTATTTGCAAAAAATGACCTATTTTGTCAACGCTAGTTTAACAAGTAGAAAGACGTTATAATCGCTTTTCTTCTTGAAAGTTAGCTTTAATACACTAAATAAAAACTTTCTTCTTTCAAAGAAAAGAAGGAAAATCTTAGTTTTTTTTTGTTTTTGTTTTTATAAATGATATATATTTAGTAGTTGAATAATTACTTTTGATGTTTTTTCATATATATTATTTATTATGTACTCGTTTATAAGAGAAGTAGACAGATACACGTACAATGTAGATTGACAAAAAATTAACTTTGTTCTATGTATATCTATCTAACATATTATCCAGGCTCTTTTCCCATATTAGAAAGCAAGAGAGATTATTAGAAAACGAGCAATAGACCGATGTACAGTAGTAGTAGTAGTAGTAGAGAAAATGCGCATATGATGGTTTTTGGTCATGCAAAGAGAAGGAAAAAACTTTTTCTATCCTTGTTCTTTCTGTTACAACAAGGTCTATGCTATTCCATACGATATAATTTTTTTCTTACTCATTTGTTGACATTCCATCGAGGATACACAAACATTACTTATTATGTCGATATTTTCTATTATAACATTTAACGTACCGTACCGTACATAGACTATTGAATTAAAAAGAATTTTCTTCTCTTTTCGCAATCTGGGGTCTGCTCATTCTACGTCGAATGCTAAAATAACAACTAAAACAGATAAATTGAACAAAAAACAATGTGAACCACCAAATGAGAGTGTAGCAACAGCAATTGGACTGACAAATCCGAATTCAAACGATACTCATACGACAGCAACGGACGCATTTGATAATCCATCATACGAATCACTAAATGAACTCTCCAGTAACAATGAATTGAATTGTGAACAAGAATTTTGTGCGAGATCACCAATTATACAAACAACGAATATAAATACTCTTAATACAAATAGCACACAATCTACAACTAAAAATATGAGTAATTCGTCGCCATTTTATCGTGAACAATCTCCGTCAAATGCTACGTTCATGAATTCGAGTACATTATACATAAATCAACCGCAACAACAATCTATACCTCGATTTCGTGTTAATAATTCATTACCAAAACCCTATGTTAATTTTGCACTAAATGGTGACACAAATAAAGAAAAACAATCTTTTCATCGTTTAAATTCGCCTCACATAACAATTCATGCATCTCACAATGAACAGCCACCTATACCACCACGAATACCGACGACAGGAATATTTTCATTACCAAACTTTCAGTTATCACCCAATACAATCATATCTAATAATAGTAATACGGAATCAACAAACAAAGTCCAGCTACCATTTACACTTGTTTCATCTAAACGAGTAAATAATAATGTACCAATTGATGTTGAACGAAAATTAGCTGCATTAACATTAGCATTAGAAAAAGAATTAGAAAGTGAAGCAACGGTTGGAGAATATTACGGTAAAAAATTCTGTCAAAATATTTTTTGTAATGTTAAATAGGAAAATAGTATTCAACAAACATATGAACAAACAAATAAGGCTAATAATTATTTATCACATTTATTTCTGTTTTTATTCAAGGTCAATGTACAAAATGTGAACATTCTGTGACGAATGCTCATGAAGGATGCCAAGCAATGGGCAATCTTTACCATAAGAATTGTTTTAAATGTGTTCTGTGCAGAAGGACACTTTGCGGCAAAGCATTTTACAATGTTGCCGATCAAGTATATTGTGAAGAAGACTATCTGGTATTGAAAGACTTTACATAACTATTGTATGCTAAATTCTCTCATTCTCTATTTTAGTTTAGTGCTTTTCAACAAACTATCGAGAAATGTGTTGCATGTGATCATCTCATTATGGATACTGTATGTGCTGTGTAAACCAACTATAAAAACATGAAATGTTGAGTGTTTTCTTGTCTAGGTACTACAAGCAATGGGAAATACGTATCATCCCGGATGTTTTCGATGTTATGTATGTAATGAATGTTTAGATGGCGTACCATTCACCATTGATAATGAATATCGTATATTTTGCCTGTATGACTATCACAAGTAAGTCACTATGTGATCTTTTCAATATTTCTATATTGTATCCTATTTTTCATTACTGATCATCAGGATATTATTCGGTCTCTTATCCATCTCTCACAAAAACGTTTTGGTACTCGTTGATATTTTGATTCGATTTAAGGATACATATCGCACTTCAGAAAAAATAACAAGATGAGTTAGTGATCGCTCTTCAAATACATGAATTTTTTTGTAAATTTTTATAAATATTACTACTTATAAATAAACATAAATATTATTATTATTGTTATTTTTAGTACATATGCTCCACGATGTGCTAAATGTGGCTATCAAATATGTCCTGAAGATGTATGTAGACAGAAAATCTATGAAATTATATATATAAGTCAACCTTTTTTTGTCTCCAGGGTTTTGATGAAACAGTTCGAATTGTTGCAATGAATAAAAATTATCATGTCAGCTGCTATAAATGTGAAGTAAGAACTTTTTAGCATGTGAATGTTTGTCATTTTCACTCTGTATATTTACCGTACGTTTTGTTATGACAAAAAGGATTGTGATTGTCAATTGAGTGATAATGCTGAAAATTTGTGTTATCCACTAAATGAAACACTTTTATGTTACAATTGTTCAACGATTCGCACAGAAAATTAAAAAGAAAATCTCAATCCACATAGTTGGGTATGTTATAAATTTCAAAACTGAGATTAGGTTGACCGAGTATATGATGGAAAACAAGAACTACGGCTATTTCATTAAACCGAATAGAAAATCAGCAATGCTGACGCATTCTGTATGTTATTGGTTTATTTATCTTGAAATTTCGATGAGTAATAGCATTAAACACTGAGTGAGCACAATCATTTTTTTGTGTCTATTTCTTTTTCTGTTATTCATATTTTTATCTGTATGTCATGTATAGACGTGTGGGTAAGATAGTATATTGTATTTATCAGATTAGTCATTATGTTAAAACATAAAGAGTTTTTCCTTTATGGTTTATTTTTTGAAAGTAAACTTAATTTCAAAAAAATATAGTTTTATCTTCTCCTTGAAACATGCAGGAAAGTCTAAGCATATGCAAATTAAATGGAGAAAGATCTATATCCTTTTTAATGAGCATTGGATATGTTATGCAGATATCCATTCAATACTCACTCAACATTCATCAAATTTCTTCTTATTGCTTTACTATTTCTTCAGTTTATCTGTTTACTCATCTTAATATCAGACTATGTGTAATAAGATGATGACTCTCTATCGTAGGAGAAAAATGAGGAAAAACGGGCGTTCACATCAGATCGATGCCCAACAGCTATCATAAATTTTGATAAAATTCACGCAGTATGTTTATCCTAGTGCAGATAGGAATAACCTTCAAACGCCATCTCAAGCAAACGTTTCGTTTAAGAATTATAACCGTTTTAAAAATCGATGTCGCTCGATAACAAGTGGCAAATTTTTGCTGAAATGAGCTTTATCCAATTATATATCATCAAAATTATCACATATTCAATACATCAGACTTAACGAGCATTTTAAACTAACATTCTGAACTTAAAAACGCGCGTTTTTTTCAGTCAGCAGAACTAATAAACTTGAAAATAGTTTCATTCGATAGTTCTTATCGAGATGTACAAGAATCATTAGTCAAAAGTTTGAAACATGAAACTTTAGTACACAAAATATTTTTTAATTAATAATAATAATTCAGAATAATATAGATGGTACTGATACACATCTCAGAGCATAGTGACTTTTGACATCAGATAGGAACAACGAATGTCTTCAAAATGAAACGTCATGGTTAAAGAGATATTTCAAAACTTGTAGTTAATCACAAGATTATTCTAGTCCATTCAGAAACCACCGACCGCTATATGGCAAAATGAATGAATGATCAAGTGAGATACGAACGTAGCTGGACTCTTCACCTGTGTATGTGACTGAATGTGCTCTATTCATATTAAATTTTTTATGAAAATCGAAAAAAGCCTTTCTTTTTGCCAATTTTCCTACCATGTTTTTTATATTTTATTAAATACAATAAATTGAACAACGAGACATTTTTCGAGTGTTTCTACAACTATCTGTCGTGATGAGATAGGGATGTCATATAAGATTATCGATCTTTATAATCAACCATCTGCATAGTTTTCGAAAAGAACTTAGAAAAATGATTGGACGAAAAAAAACTTTCTTAAACGATTGCTTTTCAATTCTAATTGCCACAATGAATAAGATTTTAGTGAGCCCTCTGCTCCATTGTACATTCGAAAGAGCAAGATCTTGGCTATCTGATGAAAAAACTTTTGACTTTTTCACGTTAATAATTTCGTTTTAAAAAATGCATCATAAAATTTTGAAAAACAGTATCATTTAAAATCAAATTAAAACAATCACTTTTTTAATATATCAAAAGAATAAGCATGAAGAACAGTATAAGTTCCTATTAGTTAAACTTGAACAATATAAATTATATTTTGTTTTTAAATCGATTTTCTCAATGTGTTCGATTGTGTTTTTCAAAAGCCGGACCTTCTCAAATATTTTCGATTCACATAAAATTCTTTCAATCACAAACGAAGCGTTACATATCATATTATACATATTGTCTGCAACATGAATCACAATTTCGTTATAATTCAGTTAGAATCCCAAAAACAGAATATTTTCAAAAAATACGATAAAACAGAATGATGTGTACTGAGCGATCATATTGTTGAGAATAATTTCGCAATTCATGGTAGAGAAAACTTTATGCTTTTTAAGTCATGCTGGTCGAAATTTAATCTAAACTTTTTTATTTTCCAACAAATCGAGCTGGCTCATTACATATTGATTGATTTTTGGTCGAATTTTTTTTTATAGGAATCGAAAATAAGTGAAAAAGATATTCACTTTCAAAAAGCTTCTTTAAATAATATTTTTACCGGCTGTGTCTGCTTCGGAGGAGGTTCTCTTTGTGTTTTTGAAATAGGCTAGGTGAATTTCAGCATCTTTATGGTTTTTTTGTATTAAAAAGGGTAATTTTTACATACGACGATATATACACACACGTGATTCCGACATGGTTTTTACCGTTTTGATTAGATAATCTATAATTATCTGATTTCAGCTTGATTTTAACTATTAGATGAAACCAGTAGAGAAGATTAGACGTTCCATTTTTAAATCTCCTACGATTTTTCTCCTACTAATCGATATCTACTATGAGAGTATAATAATGAAACGTCAGAAAGATCCTGACATATAACAGGATGATCACTTATTTTTGAGCTCATGTTTTTATATAAAGAATACAAAAACCATGCCTGAATTACTCATGTACATATATTAGTCATAAATAGTGCAATCAAAAGATGTAAAACAATGCAACGACAAACAACAAAGAAAAATGCATAATCAGAAAATGAAATTGACCGACAACAAAGATAATGATAAAATTTACAGACTGTAGGTATCACCAAACTGCAGGAATCGGTATGAATTTGGAAGTCAACAATCCATCTGACATACAGTACGTGTCTATTATCCTTCGGTTTATCATAACGTACAAAAAAAGAAAAGTTAAAAAGTGGAGTGTGAAGACGATAGATACATGTACAAGAGGCTCGTGTATGCTGTGGATTTTCAATAATGATTAAATGCAATTTTACGTAACATTAAATGGTGATAATAGATCACATATTTCTTTATTGTCAAGTAATATTTGAATGAATTCGTCTGCTGTCACACGATCTTTGTGATCCGCGTCTTTTTCTTGATTTAATTTTTCTAATGCTATTCGTAATTGTTCAACGATTCTTTCTGTGTTTTCATCATGTTTTCCGTGTAACGATGTCGCAACCTAAAAGATAATCGAAATTAATAGATGTTTAAACAACCACGAATAATAAAAAAAGAAAAAAAGATGATCAAATAATACGATTAGTCAAAATTTCTCGAAAATTTACAGTATCTAGTATCACAACACTGTGATACTACACCTCTCACACATTTAGACACATTTTTTTTCACTAACACCTCTCTACATTTAGAGTTTTTGATTAAGAAAAGAATTTGTCTGATGTCAAAATTTTTGGGATAGATAAATAATTTGTTTAATTCTAATTAAATTTACGAGTAAGAAAAGTCTAATGAAAACTATCCTTCTACGCTCATCTAGACTCTTGTACATAATGATAAGTTAAATATGATCCCAAGACACTTACCTTAACCATTTTATCAATTTCTTTTTTGTTAATCACACCATCATGATTATGATCATATGTTCGAAAAACATATTTCAATCGTTCTTGCAAACTACCACTTGACGTTAACGCAAAGCCAATAAGAAATTCACGCCAATCTAAATGAGCATAATATTAATAAGGTGATGAAAATGTAATTATATATTCGAAATTTTTATTAGTGAGGAAAAACTGTGTAATAATTAAATTTTAAGATTTCTTGATCCTTAGAGTTGCATTCACAAAGGTGGAATATAGTGATTTCATTTCAAATTCACATTGTTATGCATAACTTTCAAATATTTCTAGTCAAATACTGTCACTGCGATCACACTACATTCTTAATCGTGATTGAAATTAATCATGATTATAATTTTGTAGTGTGACCACATCGTTTGTTAATAATAAATAGCACTTTCTTGTTTAATGTTATTAAAATCATGCTAAGCGTGATTAAGAACAACAAATAAATACGGGAATTGAGTTAGAATTTACTCAATTATTTTTTTGACGGTCACGTGACAATAATGCGTTCAAAAAAAATTCTTGTGTAAATAAGAGGCGTGAAACGAGATGTGAAACTGCGTCGAATACCATCACCTCTATTTTAATCTTACAATCTGATGATTATACATATATTTACTTATGATTAGAGAAAACACACTATACTTAGCTGGGATTAGGCTAAATATCTTTTAGTCATACATGAAGTAAATCACGATTAGCGAATTAATTGCGATTAGAATCGTGGTCACACTACGAATCACGTATAGATTAACTTGATTATGAGTATGACCGTAGTATATGTCATCCACTGTTATTAATCGCGATTAACGTTAATTATGGTAATCTACTTTTGAAACGTTTAATCATGGCTAGTATAAGCTATGCACTGTATTAAAACTTCTCACTTGCTATTCTCAACAGATATAGAATATATTCTTTATTCTCGTTTTGGCTCGCATCTTTTGACAAAATTAACTATTGTTTTGTAGCTGTCGACTACGCTAAATCTCGTAGCAACGTTTGTGTCTCGAAAAAAAATCAAACTACTTCGAAAGATTTCTAGAAAATCTTTTCGAAATCAAAAATTCTATTGAACTCCATGGTATGGTATAGATACAATAGAGTATATGTTAATACTCTGACGGAGTATGGATTGATTTTGAATGAGTTAGGAATTTTCTAGTTTTACACGAAAATAGGGAAAAATGGGTTATTTCATATAATATAGGTTTTCACTAGGTCTTTGAATTTTTTTCGAGAAACAAACGTTGCTAAAAGATTCAGCGTGGTCGATAAACGATGTTTTCATTTCGGGATTACCATATCTAAAGACATATTAATCCTGGGGGCTCCCAGAAAATCCGATGCCACGCCTAAACCACACATAATTGAAAGGTCGCTTAGTTTCCGTTTTGAAGAGGACACTTTTGGCTATCCACTCATAAAAAGAAACTAACATATGACTGTGGTAAATTTTCGGGTTATGAAATGGTTTTCCAGAGAGCCTTAGAACGCCGGTTTCTGAGAAATAATTTGAAAAACGTTTTACTTATGAAAAGTTGCTGTCAGGTCTCGGCTTTCAAATGGTGAAAACCGCAAGTCTCTAGCGTTTTGCGTTTAAGAGTTACTCAGAAAACAGTCAACGGCACTGCTTTAGGGGGACGATTGTAGCTTCTTTAAAATTTCTTTATTTCAGCTGTTCATCATATGAATGGCGCGTTCAAACCCTCATGGATCTCTGAGTTAGAGGTATCAAATCATTTATGGAATTTTACATCTTTCCGAAAACTATTCATAATTTTAGCTCAGGAACATAGTCTTGACTTGCTAATTTCGGCAAATACTTGTCAATGTTTATTGATTATCTTCTAATTTTGAAGAAATTATGAATTATTTTCGGGAATATGTCAAATTTCATAAATGCTTGTGTAAGATATTTACATGCACTAAATAGCGAGTTATAGGATTGATATAAGTGTTTTTTTAGGATTATGTATTTTTGGTTAGTGCTGTAATAATAATCAACGCTACCGTGTGGACATAGTGAAAAATACATTAGAAGATACGAAGGAAAAAGAGACATGAATATCCACGTTGTCTACATACCTACTTTTCCATCATGATTTGTATCAAATGATCGATGAATTTCATCAGCTAATTTATCAATCGTTTCTTCTTTCTCTTTTTCATGTACAATTGCTTTTAAAAAACGTTTTGTATCAATTTTTTCAATTGTACCCTTTGGACATGCTGCCTATAACACAAAACACATTGATTAGTAACAATTCACAACTTCGCCTACTGATCAATCAATATTATCTAACCTTCAATTTTTCATACCATTCTTCGACCGATTCAGGATCAAGTTTTGATTTTCTCGATATAAACTCAATATCCTCTGCGCTCAATTCCACGGGTTTAACTGACTTTGCACCCATTCGTATATATTTATCTTTTCTATTGTGTTTATTTAATTCCCAATAACGAAGACTAGAACACAACAATAAAGAGAACATAAGTATGAAAGAAAAAGAGCCAAGGGTCATTAGAAAAAATAATAAATCTTCCGTGTGCGAGCTCTATAAATGTCTTTGTTTAGTGCAATCTGTTCCTTACGCTAAATATACATAATATTTGTACACAGGATGATACATAATTATAAACGCGCAGCTGCACCTTTTTTCTTACATTTAATGAAAAATACTATTCATTTCAAAATACAGTGATTGTAAACTGAGTGACATATTTTCATAGTAAAGTAAGTTTTGAAAATCTTTTTTCCGAAATGGAATTTTCAAATTTTTGAAAATTAATTCATAGCTGAGAAAATTTAAAGACAAATATGATAATTTCTTTTCATGAGTAAATGGTCTACATTGTCCGATAAAAAATGAGAGTCAGATGAGATTCTTCGCTTTTAGTGATGTAGTGTAGGCGCGACATGTTAGGAAATGGCTGTTGAGAATTTCAGACTTGATCATAGTTAAACGACCAGGCTGAATCATATAGCATCATTTGTTTTTATTAAAAATTCTAAACAAATTTAAGTGGAGATAATCCGTTTAGGACTATTTTCATGTAAAACTAAAAAATTCACTCATTGGCGGTTCAAAACATTTCAAAATATACTCTATTTTAGAGGCAATCGCAAAGGCGTACTGGAACGAAGAAAAAAAAAAACATATTTTTTTACTAAAAAAATTATAAAAATGACCATTTATACTGACTAAAACTATACAAAGACTAAAATGACGCTTACTCTCTTATTTCATTATTCACGGTTTACTATGAAGAAACGCGCGCTCAAACATAACTCTTATCTGAAACAAGAAAAAAAAATTTGATATTTGATATATCAACTTCAGCTGATAATTATGTGTTATATTAAGTAATACACGGAAAAAAACTTGACTCCTTCGAAAACTATGAAGAGTATATTTTCAGATCAAGACTCAAATGTGATTTTTAGTAAAAAAACTAATTAAGAATACAATGTGGTTAAGTATTTTTTGTCAGTTCTTCATAGAATATCTTAAAAAGATTTCTTCCGAGTGACGATGTATTATTAGTTAAAACATTATAAGATATTACAAAATGAGTCATGTTTTATTAACTTTTCTTTCTTGTTTTAATTAGAAAAATACAAGAATATTTTGAAAGATCGAAAAGAAAACAAAAAAATATCAAGCGAAACAAATATATAACATAACTACACAATATAATACCTGACAATAAAGAGATTGCACTATAAAAACAAAAATAAAATAGAAAATTTAATCTACAAAACTATTTGATGACAAAAGAAAAAGTTGTTTCTTTCAACTCTTATAATTAGGGTAACAAACAACATTTGCAAAAATCTGATTTTGAACACTATAAAACAAGAGAAAATAGAAGGAGAAAGAAATAACAAAGCTCGCCAAATACATTTTTGTTATTTTTTCTCATGAAAGAGTCGCACTTAAATCGCTAAATGAAAATATTAAATAAACTTTTAGAAATCCAAAATTCTCTTAATATTATAAAAATACCAGTGATTCAATAATAAGTTGAGAGTTGATAATTGAGTTGAAACAACAGGATCAAATTCAACTAATTCTTTAATCTGTATCAAGGAAGGGTAAGAGCGAATAAATATTTTAATAAACTATATAAATTGTCCAGATTTTCTACGGTAATTCATGTTAGAATAGATTTACACTCAACAAAAACAAAAAAAGAAAAAAAACGAAATAATATGTTCAAAATATTCACTTAATACAATCTGGTGCAACACATTCTTCAAAAAAAGAAGAGAAAAGTTATTATAAAATTAATACAATAATGGAGTCGACGTATTTTCGCTATCTCATGCATGTTAAGTTTGGAAAAAGACCGGGATGATGTGCACTTTTGTGCTTGAAACAGAAAAATTACTAACATACAACACAATTCGAACAAAAAAAAAAATCTAATTTTTTACGTTAAATGCTTCATCTTCAAGGTAAAAAAAAATAAATTATTTAATTTCTGTGATTCTATTGGTGACAATTTCTAAAAGAATAAAGGCAAACAGGTTTTTTTTCTGCTTTTAAGTGATTTTGTTACCTTTTTATACGACATAACTTTTTTATTTATCTTGTAGAAATGAATGAGAATAATAATTCTATTTTAATGATTTATTTATTAAAATAATAAAATGTTGTGCCAATTCTAATACAACTTTATACGACATCGTAGTAATAATTGTAAATAAGCGTGGTGATGTCACTTATAAATCATCAATAAGACCAATTTTTTAATATATTAATATTTAATTTAAATAAAATCGATTCTATTCTGTTCATTTCATGTCGTTGTTTATCAACAGAAGAAGATTTTGGTAAAACTTAATTAGATACAGTATCTGAGATAAGAATTTTCATTCATAAGTATACACTTTACGAGCCATTTCTGTTGTACATTTGAAATAAAATATAAGGACATCAGATGTTTACAACTTATATAGACAAATTGCTGATCAGAAGAGAGGAAGCAACGTGAAAGAATAAATATTACTCTTAATAAAAAAAAATAAATAAGAGAATACAACAACCTCGAAAAAATATATATATAAATATGTAGGAGAAAAAAATCTTCTTTTAAGAGAATAGAAATGAAACAGAGACAGAGTATTTACAGTAGTCGGAGAAAAAAAACCGGTAAAAGTTGACAAGAGAAAAAGCTAAAAATGAATTTAATATCAAAAAAAATTTTCAATTTTTGCATGTAACCATACAAAATCTCAAACTTGCCAACAATCATTTTACTTGATTATTTGATTCTTGTATAAAAAAGAAAAAAAATTAGAAAAATAAAATAAATAAAAATAAATTTCTCTATATACATAAAAATTACTATTATTTTTACTGATATCTCCATATTCTTGTTTTCGGATTATAAAACAAATGTATATCTTGTTGTTGATCTACAAAAGGTAACTTCAATGTATAAGGTGGTTCATTATAGTGTCCTTGAAAATGCATTTCCGTATACAAATCATATAAAATCGATGATGGTTGTTTGATCAACATTGGATTTATTTGATGTGAAATAGGTTCTTTTAGAAATTTTGAACTGTATACTTCACTAGTACCAGAACGTAGAGAAAACATCACTTGTGTAAATAGACTGTAAGGTATATTTTCTTGATCTAAATCTAAACCGCTTAATGTTATATGATTCGATTGAATAACAATACGTATTCGACGATGAAGTTCCCATTGTGGTATGGGTATACCTAATTTATCCATAATACCATTCATGATATCATCACACATAGCATGAGTATTTAACTTTGCTATTGATGCCATGGGAGTCAATTGTAGATTTCCGATAACTAATTTTTGACCTTTGGTTGCTACTCGCTCAGGAATATCGGCAGCTAAATGATAAAAGTAAAAATCCTATAAACAATAAATTTATAATTATCATTAATTACCTGGTGTAACGCGTAATGAAGATCCCAGTACAAGACACAAATCAGCCTTTTCTGCATGTTGAAAAGCTGTAGTTAATTCTCGTTCTGGTAATGGTTCTCCAAAATTAATAATACTGTCCAACAATGGTCCCTTACAATTTGATTTTTTACATATTCGCCCGGTTTTATGATTGTGTACTTTACTCGCTGTTCTTGTACGATAATCTCTCAAATATTTTGTTTTACATTTCTGACAATATTCCAAATTTGAGTTTCCATGTAATTCTGCTAACATACTTGATTTTATTCCTGAGCGAAGATGTAATCCGTCTATATTTTGAGAAATAACAAATTTAACAATACCCTGACGAGCTAATTCAACAATAGCCATATGAGTCACAGATGGAATCGCTTTTGTACTCGTAGTCACATTAGCCTTTTTTGAACGTGTTACACCTTTATCACGTCTGAAAAGTACACAAAATAAAACAAATCTAGAGATAAATTAACACCATATGATTTTGTAAATGAACTTACAATTCCCAGACACCAGGACCTGTTGGTAATATGGTATTTATCCCTGATCGAAAATCTGGAATTCCTGTACTGGTTGATATTCCTGCTCCAGTAAATATAATAAAATGTTTACTAGTTTTAATCCATTGGGCTAGTTGACTCAATTTTTTATTCAATATATCGGGTGCATCAATCAATTCTTTTTTTGTTGAATCGTCGTCGGATATACCGTGTGCCATTATAATTTAATAATCTTTTTTAAACAAGATCTAAAATGATTATGTACTCAGACTAAAGAATGACGTTAAATTAAAGATTACACATTTATACAGTTGAATAGAATGATTCAACAATTTTGTTTAGTCATGCTTTTTAAAATGTATTAAATTATTAATAAAATGTGTTACATGTAAAGAGTAACATATTCATTTCACTTTATTATATACGTAAGATGGCTATTAACACATTCGCGGCGATGTGATTCACCGGTGGTAATAAAATAACGACTCAACGAAAAAATTCAAGCAATACCTCATCTGATATAGAATTTCACGGGCTATTTCCACATCTGAGAAATAATTTCAAAAATGTTTTACTTATGAAAAATTGCGGTTAAGTCTCGGCTATCAAATGGTGAAAACCGCAAGTCTCTAGCGTTTTGCGTTTAAGAGTTACTCAGAAAACAGTCAACGGCACTGCTTTAGGGGGACGATTGTAGCTTCTCAGGTCGACCAAAACGCATATCCGTTACGGACCGTCTGCTGGACGCAGGAATACGGACCGTAACATCATTAAAATAGGGTCGTATACGGCCGTATTTTCACAGTATACGACCCCATATTACTGTGCCCAGAAACGGTACCGTTTACAGGCCGTATATTGTGAAAGGCCGTATACGGCCCTATTTTAATGATGTTACGGTCCGTATTCCTGCGTCCAGTAGACCGTCCGTATATGGACTGTATCGTTCGACCTGGGTTCTTTAAAATTTCTTTATTTCAGCTGTTCATCATATGAATGGCGCGTTCAAACTCTCATGGATCTCTGAGTTAGAGGTATCAAATCATTTATGGCCAGTCCAATACCTTTCAGTCTGTTTTTATTCCACTGGAAATCTCAACATAGTCCTTGTTTCTAAAAAACATAGCAAGTTACTGAATTCACTACTATTAACGCACAAAAAAAAACAAGTATATAAAACTGATATCTCTAATGAGCTTCTGCACCATATTCAGAAATATCACGTTCAGCTGTCAGAGATTTTGGATGAGCTTGTTTTTTCCGTTCAATTACTGTCTCTCATTTTACTACTACAGACTCAGTCGCAGCAAGACAGCTGATTAATTCTTTAGTGGGGAAAGAAACCAGACCTACTCAGCATTCAAAAATGAATTCTGAAACTTCTAAGATAGCCTATCTGGTAGCCCGTGAAATTCTGCATCAGATGAGGTATTGCTTGAAGTTTTTCATTGAGCTGTTATTTTACATATGGAACATTAAGCTATTAGAGTAGGCTAATTTAACGTTAATTGGTACTAATTAGTCAATAGTAGGAAAGAAAGAAAAATTTTTTTTACATCTTTTCTCGTATTAAATATTCTCCACACATTTCTCTATCGATGCAGACAAGAACCAAGTTTTTATGATGAATGGAGGATAGATAGGAAATTTTTTAATAATAGCCCCATGCTCATAAACTTAACAACATTTTTTTAAGTCATTAATCTTTTTCCCAGCCAGATAATGTAAATAAGCTGAGAAAATTTCAGGACATTTACTTCGAAGCATCCTCTACAAACTGGAAAGGCTTGAAGAAAAAATTCAAAGCTTGAAAATATCGCTGGTTTTTGGCTCCATCTCCGGCTGCTGCACGCTGCGACGTGTACGCGACTTGAAAATCATTTACCTTACATATTTAGCAGTTAAATAGAAACTTGCAGGTATGCATATCACGTGACCTACCGATGAGCCACATCAAACATGCTGGGGCGGCGAATGTGTTAAGATTTTAAGCTCAGTAATCAGATAATCGACAAATTAGAAACAAAAGATAATTTAAAATTTAAAATCAACTATGCTTCGACTTTCTCGATCACATTAATATATAGAACTCTCAGCATGCATGTGACATACACTGTAAAACCATGTGCCCTTGAATGTGTTCTGGTCAAAATGTATTTTATTCGAGAGTACATTATGTATCTTGAAATTAGAAGCGTTCTAGGATTTGTTGAATTAGTACTCTCGTTGTCAGCTAGTCTTTGACTGCAACTGTGACTGAGGCTAATACACTAACTATCGCAGACTATGGCAAAGGAATAATTTCACACAATATGAAGATGAAAAGTAACAAAAAATTAATGAATCGATGAAGTAATTTTTTCAAAAAATGTGTTCTGTAGAACGACATTACCAATGCATCTACAAATATGACTAGAGAATGTATTCATCCCATACATTTTTTAGTGCCCATTTTAGGACACATTTCTTTTTAATATGTAGAGTATGAATATTGGTAATGCGTTAGTGAATCGTCTCTCTTCTGAGCAATTCTATTGATATTGCAAAGATGTGAGGATACCATGGATCTTTAAAAGTTATATTTTATTAAAATCAACCAGTATTTAATTCACGATATACTTCCCTGCTTTACTAGAATATTTTTATACCAGTCGCAATATCAGTAAAAGTTTTGGGCTAAACTTTGCAATAAATATTTATAAAGATATTTACTAAAGATAGCAAACCTCTTCAAAGTTTAGGTTTCTTATCCATACATTTCCCTTTTACCGATGCATCGGTGTATTGTCATTGTTTGAATAGTATGACGCATGTATAACAGTAACAATAAAAAAGAAAAGTCTATCCCAGTTAAATAAAAAAACCCATTTCTAATCTGTTTTTGCAAATCTGGAACGTTATAAAGCGATGGCATTGATTACTTCTATACAGACTTATTAATCATAATTTGGATTAATAAGTCTGTATAGAGGTTTGGAGTTTTTGTAGAGAAAACACCAAATTACGATCAATAGAAATTAAACGTGATGAAAACATGTTGTGTAGAATTGTTGTTAAACATTAATCGAAATTAAAACAGACTATAGATATCTCTAAAAATCTGAGACAGGCTCATTTATTCAGCTCTAACGTATAAAAGATGGACACATTAACACTTTATAATATATTAAAAGTCGAAAAGCAAATATTTCTAAAATATGTCAAAAAAAATTATTCGTCAAATATTTCATCAAAACAGCAATAACTATCGGTCACAATTTTCGTTTCTTTTCTGTAGGCATTCAATTTATATGTTAATCATAAGTCACCATTTGCATATTACTCAATCACTATTGGTAGCAACTGATCATTATTGCTAAGGATGAATTCACATGATATGATAATCGCAATTAACTAATGATTAAAATGCTTCTGTAGGCATGATGTATTTTGGATTTAGATTTAGATTGTCTATGAATGACAATTTGATTTACATGTTATCAAACTTCACCAACAACAAAGTCAGATATGTGTGTATCAAATATATCTATCAATGAAACTCTGACCTCCTATTCTTTCAAGAATCATTCTCTCTTTTCGAACGTCAGAACACGAAAAAAAAAAGAAACTCTTATTAATTTGTTTTCATATTTATTTGTCTACAATGTTGTAATATTAAAAATGAACATTGGATATATGTAGAAATAGGAGTAAAGGAGTAGAACGAGAGACGAACAACAACAATACAAATAATAAACAATGAAATCACATCATTATTAGATTTGAGCAAATGTATACATTGATATTTCTAGATAGTTACCAGATATTTCAATTGGAGAGATATAGACTTATGATTAAAGATATGTCAAGAAAATACTTGACGTCAGTTGTAGTCAAATGTTTCCACTAACTCTATGAAAAAGATAAAAATTTGTATCACGTTCTAGCCTTGACTATACTCGAAAATTTATTTTATACATCGATACATGTGCGGATTTTATGAGAACAAGATATTTTCATTCAAAAGAAGCATGGTAGGTCGGTCCTACTATAGCGAATTTCATATATATGAATAGTAACAACAAAAAAGCATTTACAAAAGTTCTCAAAACCCTTCAAACTGGCGTAAGTTTCTTTTTAAAAATAAATCTTGGTCTACGAAGACAAGGTTGTTTTACTACTATTATATGATGCAATAGTATAAAAGATAAGCGTCTTTTTTACGAAAAGATTATGAGTTTTCAATTGTATAATTTTCGAATACAGCCAAGGCTAAAACGTAATACAATTTTTATCTTTTTCATAGACATAATGGAAACATTTGAGTACAGCTGACGTCAAGTATTTTCTTGACACATTTTCAACCGTAAGTCTATGCCTCTACAACTAAAATATCTAAAAATATCAGTATATACAGCTACTCCTATCTAGCGTATTTGACTACTTAAATTTACGTGTATAAGTATGCCTTACAGAAAAAAAAGTGGCTGAAAGTTCAAAACAGAAATATCTAAAAAGTGTCACTCCGAAAATCTTGTAGTTCAGTAAAATATGTGGTTGGGATAAAGCCCCTGTATGAAAAATGTTCATTTTTGGACCTAATCGAGATCAAGGGCGGCCATACAGTTCGAACTGTAATTATCCACCTTTAGTCATTCTAACAGATAGTGGCTCTCAAGTCATTTTAGTGCGAAGAGAATTAGTTTATGTACAAAGAAAAAAAAGAAACTAGCCTCACGTGAAAAAGAAGAATAACAACGTCAACAAATTAAAGTAACACAAAGCCATTCTTAAAGAACGGAGAAAGAAAAACATAAGAAAAAATATGTATTTTTGAGCGTAAAAGAACAATCGTTTTTTTGATGAGTAGAAAACAAAAAGTACAACTATTTCCAACGATAAAAAATGTTCCCTGAATTATTGCGACATAGACACACGCAAAATTATTTGTACAACGAAAAAATGGCCACGTCTATCTGTTTTAAAAGGCTTATTAACAAAAAACGACGAAAATAAATTAAAACAAGTAAAAATAAACTCTCTCGCTTCGCCTCACGAATCCATTGAATAATGTTGATCTTGTATCGTTGCTGAAGAAGAAGCTGGACCATTTCCAGCTGCTGCCGCGGCAAGACTGTGATTTAATGTGACATTCATTGAATTTAACATATCATCTAACAATTGTAACGCACGATGTATTTGAATTTCAATCCAACAGGGAGTTTCTTTTATTGCCTGACGAGGATAATCTACAGTGAGACAAATAAAAGACATTTTTCAAGCAAAATGAAGACACAATAATTGAAAGTTTACCGACCTGGACCCCAGCCTTTGACAAAACTAAGTCGAAGTACACATAAACGACGTAAGTCATCAACTCCAATGTTTGGTGCTGGAACTGGAAAATAAAAGAGAATTAGAAACTGTGTGTAGTATGAAACCAACAGCAGTTGTGCAATACTTTGTGATGGAATTCTACCAGGCATTGCATTTCTATCTGCTAATGCCATCTGTACTTGTTGTTGCATTTGCGTATGACACTGACGAAGATCAAATACCTAATCAAAATATTCAACGTAATAGTAGTCCATTCAAAAGTAAAATATTTATTCTTACCTTAATGTATGCTTGAGGATATATTTTATGAACAGCATCTCCAGGTGCTCGTCCAGCTTCGCGATCCAAATAGAAACTTTGTAAAAATACGGCTTGTTCACTGTTACAACGAATCCAAACGTCCCCTTCACTTCGACAATCTAAGCGAATACCCTTTCCTATATGCAATCTAAAAAAATGAGAAGCAAAATGGTAGAAAAGAATATTTATCAGTTCGTCTCAATTACCGTGCTTTTTCACTTGCATCTGTTCGATGTACATTTGATAACGGTCCAAGACACATTCGGTCGCCGATTGTCGTCATATCCATGCCTCCATCAACTGTTACTTCTTTAAAATTATCTGGTACTTTAAATGTTTCGCCTACTTGAATATCACGTTCATAATACGATATACTACACCAATATTCACCCAAACTATTTAACAATGTTAAATTTGACGGCGGTGGTGGACGAGATAAAGCATTTGGAACTAAATCAGATAAAGATGGATGATGACACTGTTGCTGTTGCCCTAAAAGAAAAACTGGAGAAATAAGTACATCACATTTTGGGATCCTATAACGCATCTACTCGTAGGAATATCTCGATAAAAAAAATTAAATACTGTCAACTTTTCTATGCTTTTAAAGATGTAAAAACCGCTTTCTTTTTTAGCTTTGAGCATTTTTTAGCTCCCTTTCGATTGTAAAATAGGAATGAAACGTTCCATAATTAGAAAGGTCTTACCATTGAAAATATCAGAAAAAAACATCTTTGAGTATATTTAAGAAAATGGCATAGTCAAAAACTCAAAACGCTAAGGCGAAAGAATATCAGATTTCTAGAACCTTTCGTGAAAACTATAACTAGAAACAATAATTTGGAAGTGATCTAAATTAAATATGTCAAAATATTTTTTCTAATTCATTTTTTCCCAGTGCATTAGAAGTTGAAATCATTAAAAGTTATCCCTTTTGGTTTTTCATATTCTAGCAGTTGAATTCTAGCCAATTCTACTGACTAGAACAATTCTGCGTTAAAACTGATGCATTTGTTGTATGAAGACAAGATTTATTTATTCTAGAAGTTTCGCGTTACTTGATCGCACTGAGTACAATAGGGTTTCAATGAACTATCACAAGAGATAAACTTACATAAATTATTTGCCGCACCAGCAGCCACTGCTGCTACATTCATTGAAGACGTTGTAGATGACCAAGATGGAACAGGTCCGCCAGATGTTACTAAAAAAATATAAGTTTGGGTTAATTACGAATGATTAGAAAAGAAAGATTACTTGATTATACCTTGTAATAGAGGAGATGGTGGAAATGAATGTTGAATATTAGATCCATTAAATTGATGTGGTGGGCTTGGACTCGTTGTATCCGATGGTTGATGTTGAACAACACTGTGAGGTTGGGGAGAACTCTGCTCATCTACAAAATCTATTGTGAATTCTTAAGACAAATGTACATAGAAATGAGTTATAATTAATTTCATAAAATTTTTACCTTTTATGTAACGAAAACTATCTTGATTTGAATAATGATCTCGATCATTTGATGAAGACGGATCATTATGAGAGGGACCATGACCAGATAACTGAAACCGCGGTACGAGTGGTAGACCAGCAAGATCTAGACAAACAAAATAAAACAATAATCGTTGTCCAACATTACACGAAAATGGACATTATATTATTATAGCTTGTTACAAAGTATGCACTGTTCCCGTTATTTATCTATAACTCACCAATTCCGGGCGATACGACTCTGTCGTAATGATAAGGATTAACACAAACATATTCTTGTTTTAAATCGAATGCTAGTTGGCAAAATTTTCGATGCTTCAATTCATTTTTGTGTAAATCAGGCCAGCGCCAAATACGAGCATAAATTACATGAGGAAAACCTTTTCGTCCGGCTACCTGTTAAATAAAAACAAAGTCAAATACTGGTTAACATTACATCACGTATTATCCTCACTTGTAATCTTCCATCGAGTGTTCGTTGGATGGTCACACATTTTGTTGGGTGAGCACCGCTTGTTGTTACTGCTGTTACGAGTGCATCTAATTCATCTTTTTTATCTTTTAATTTTTTCACAAGACTTTCAATCGCTCGTTTAGCAAATGTTTCCGATTCTCCACCTTGTCGATGACACATCAATGAATGAACAATACCCATGCATGCATCCGATGACGGAGCAATCAAAACACCACCATTCGTACTGTTATTTGTTGTTGTTAATGAGGAAGATGTAGTGGATATCGTCGTACCAGAAGCCGGACTATGTGAATTTAACCCGCAACCATGAGCCATTGGGGACATCATCATTAAAGCAGCAGCTGCAGTAACACTGTTATCACTTAAATGAGGATGAGGGTGAACAAGAATATCCAGTTTCAATGAACATGTACAACAAGCAACAACAAATAAATAATAACAATTCGAATGTCGTGTTCTTCAATATTAAATATCAGTCATTCAATATATATACTTGTTTGCTGAAACAAAATAAATATAAAAACACTCATATAAATTGAAGTTTGAGATTTTTCTTCGTTAGAATATCAAAAGAGGCATCAAGTGCACACGGTTTGCAAAAACAATACAGTAACAAAATAATTGACCATAAACACGAAGAAATCCTACGGACGTTTGTCAAAATACAGGAATTCAGACTATGAATTAACAAGGAACGTATTAGGTGAGCTTTTTAATAGATAATTCATAATCAGTATTCTTTATTACCAAAAGCATACCTACTTTATTTCCGATTGACGTGAACTTGAAAGCAAAAGCCCCTTTAGAGAAATAATGAATGTAAGTAGAAATATATCACACACAACGTCAAAGAAAAATATTATTTTTTTTATTGTTGATTGATTTTTCTTTTAACTTTTAATATATGCGTTTTAATTTTTAGACTCCATTATTCAATCATTGAGGCCCTTATTCAATTCAAGAACTTGAACTTGAACTTGAACTTGATTTTAATTTACAAACAAAGCTGACTTTATAAAGAAAGAGCTGCTGTAGGAAAGCAGAAAAATTAAAACATACTTATACACACTGCCACCTGGAGTAACAACACTACAAGAGAGAGAGAATACACGCTTATATCTATAGATTCAGTCTTATAGAATAGAGTACAGAAATAAAAAATAACAAGAACAAAAAAAAAACCCTCAGAAAACGCCTCAAATTTGCAGATGATATTTAATATTTCAGCGTCGCTTTGAACTGACCTAGAGTACGTGCGACAACAACCGTTTCTGGTAAAGCGTTCCAGCCTTCGGCAGTCTGATAGAAAAAGCTGACGCTACCTGTTTTTTTGTAAGACTCGGTGTCGTGACTGATTTCGTGTTTTAAAACCGTACGTGTATCCAGACGTTCTGTTTTACGATCCGTCAGTGGTGTTATAAAGGGCGGATCCCAAACTGAAAGCGGAGATAACTTGTTCATTACTTTATAGAAATGAATCAAACAAAAATATTCTCTTCTCAACAACAAATCCGGACGCTTTAGTTCTGAATTAACTCTGACACCAATCTGTCGAATTTTTTCGAAATAAAAAACAAAAATTGAGGATGGTATAGCAATCCGTGATTACTTTACCCGTCTTACTTTATACAGCGTCATCTACCGTAAACAAGGGATAAAAAAATCTTACATTATCTACCTTTGTTATTCATCCAGGTGAAACATGTCTAGTCCTGGAAGATCTTACAAGAGTTGATGTTTTCTTATAGAACCTATATGTTGTCAATGACCATATTTCAAAGGTACCGTGCTTGAACCTCAGCGCGATCAAGTCATGTAATAACCTTGGGCAAGTTACTTATGTCTTGGTGCCTCGGATCACCCGTCCGATATAATAGCATACCCACTACATTGTGATGTACAATAAACTTCTCCGGCTAGCCGTCGTGACTTTCCGGAAAGCTAGCACATGGTTAGTGATGTGTATGGGAAGCTCAAGTAATTGGGCAAAAACACTCTGAGTCAGTCTAGCCTTCTGGTTAGAGCTGTTGTTCAAATTACACTCACTAACCACATACTAGCTTACCGGAAAGTCACGACGGCTAGCCGGAGAAGTTTATTGTACATCACAATGTAGTGAGTATGCTATTATATCGGACGGGTGATCCGAGACACCAAGACATAAGTAACTTGCCCAAGGTTATTACATGAGTTGATCGTGCTGGGGTTCAAGCACGGTACCTCGGAAATACGTCATTGACAACATATAAGCTCTATAAGAAAACATCAACTCTTGCTTCCAGGACTACACTGTAATCTTGTAAATCCTCGAGAAATTCCTATAGGTACTTTTTGAAATTCGCCGAGCATTTTCCATAAACAATTTCCAACCTTACAGTGATAGACATGTTTCATCTGGATGTCCATCCATAGGCAATCAAAAGTTTGATAATGAATTTTGTAACCTGGATGTTCACTGCATGGAGATCACCATATTACATCACCTTTCTCTTTTGTATACTGGAGTACTCTATACACAGCTACTAACTATGTATTAGCTTTCCAGAAAGCCACAAAGGCTGACTGGAGGAATTATACCGTCACAACGTGGTAAATTCACTATCGGACAGATGATCCGAGACGGTAAGAAGGAACAATACACTGCCTTACTACTACCATTACCGGTATAGAGTGCTGCCGAATATCAGTTTCATTAGCTCAATATTTTTTCTGCAATTGACAAGCTTCTGAAATCGTCTCCTATGCTGTTACTATAGTGAGTGTGATTCAGAAGCTTGTCAACTACAGAGAAGATATTAAGCTAATGAAAGTGCCATTTGGCAGTACTCTATACCGGTTACGGTAGCCGTAAGGCAGGGTATCCTTCCTTCTTACCGTCTCGGATCATCCGTCCGATAGCGAACCATGTTGTGACGGTATAATTCCTCCAGTCAGTCTTCGTGGCTTTCTGGAAAGCTAATACATAGTTAGTAGCTGTGTATAGAGAAGTAGTAATTGAGC